TAAAAGTTGCAAAGATTTTTCAAATTTTCTTTTTTCTTATAAGTTTGCTCTTGGGCAGCTGTAGATCCCACGTGATATATATATATAGCTAATTTTAATGGTAATATTCTTAATGAAATATATGAAATATATGAGCTGATAAAAATAATTAATTCGTGATCCATGATAGAAGTGCATACTGTACCACGTTTTCTGAAATCCAGGGTTGTTAAGTAGCAAAGTCAAAAACTTGTAAAGACAATAATAAAAAATATGTCAAAATAATGGTTGAGATTTTTTGCATCATATTATTTAATATCCTGTGTAATATTTATTATGTGTGTGCTGGTAGAAAAAATTTGGAAGTTGGTCAACCGTAACCATTTGATAGTGATGATCCCCATAATTTACTAATTAATTTTCAGAATTTTATCTACTTCTATCACGCATCACGAATTAAATTAAAAAAAAATTTATTATGAATGATTCATTGTTAAGGCTTTTTTTGATGTTTCGGTTTGCATGTTGCAGAATAGCAAGTAACCTAACTTTGTATGGATTTTACTTTTGGATGATTCTTGACTTATTTTAACATACTTTGGGTATTGTAACGACCACTTTTGCATTACCTGCATGAAAAAATCCTTGTAAAATGGTAATTATTTTTTTAGAAAATTTTGTTCCGCCTCTCTTGTTTATAAAAATGCCATTTAAAATTATATTAATAGATATAATTTGCAATTTAATTTAATTCTAATTTATGAATTTATTGGCCTAATTATTTAAAATAATTTTGTTAATATGGACGATCACCTATTCTTTGGAGTTTGTGGACGAGGTTTAGTTATTTCTACTTTTGATAATTTTTGAATTGCACCGGATTTTATACAAATTTCTATCGTTGATGGACGGACCACAAATAAAAGATGTTCAGAAAGTTCAACTCTTTTTCCCTTATTTTCTTCAGTTAAGACATGTGGGACCCATTTTGCACATACTTTTGAAGCTTCCAATTCATAATGAATTCTCTCAGTAGAAATACCCATTAATTCCTCTAATGTTTTAATTGATATATGTGGGTCTTCAACAATAAGTTCTTCAATTTCTGCAACATTTTTTGGGGTGACAATTTCTTTTGGGTGTCCAGAACGTGAATCATCTTTAATGTTTTCATCACCACTTTCAAATGATTCAATCCAGCGATAAATACTATGAATACTTAGTGCTTTAGGTCCTTCAGCAACCTGCAATTCCATATGAATTTGATTCGCACTCTTACCATTTTTCCAGCTTACAAAAATGTAGTAACATTGATGTTCACGATTAAAATTTTCCATTTGTTTTTTTAGCAAATTTTTAAATGTCAATAGCTTTATAATTAATGAACAAAATTTAATAATTTTTTTTTTATTTAATAGACAAAAACGACTATTTTCATTTAAAAAAAATCTGTACAAAGTTACACATAAGATTGTCATTTTACAGGGCCAGTGACAAAACTTTTCAAATGCCCCACATATTATTGAAACCTTCTTGAAAGAATTATTCAATAAAATTTTCTATTGCTAAAAAGGTTAGAAATAAATAATGATAAAATAAAATATATAATATAAGATAAAGATAAAGTGTAAAGTGTAAAAAGTGTAATGCACTCCAACTAGATCCATGCATTACTGTCATGATTATCCACCAAGTCATCATGTCTGCAAGAAAATTAAGTTACAATATAAAATATAAAATACACAGTGAAACTCGATTTAGCGGATTTCGATTTAGTGGATTTCAGAACAGTATTTTTTTATAGTTATTTTATCTTGATTTAATGGATTTAGCAGATTTTTATATATTAATATATTCAGTATACCAGTTATTTTTTTAGACTTTCTCATGTTGTACATTAACAAACTTATTTTGATATAACAGATAATGATGATCATTACTAGAGATGGGGTGGTTCAGTTTGGTTCAGTTCTGGTTCCATGGAACTGGTTACAATAGAACTGAACTGAACCAAACTGTTCAAACTGGTTCTTGGAACCGGTTCCAAAATAGATGTAGCACAAAATATTATTGTCAAAACTAATTTTCTTTAAGGGTATTGCTTCCTAATATGAAAACAGTCTATGAGATACTATCTAGTCATTGTCCATATTTAATGTTGGCGATTATTTTTGTTTTGCCAATCACTAAATTGACCAATAGGAATGAAGGAAGGTAAATGAAAATGACAAAAACAGATATTAAAATATCCCGATATGGTGAAGTGGTTTTGACCTCAAATAAATTTAATTATTTAATATTAACAGATGGTCTTTTGGTGAATTGCAAATGGTTTTTTTTTGAATTGTATAAAAAAATGGACCTTTGGCGAATTGCAAAAAAGGCTTTTGACACAAATCATTTTAAATTTTAAAAAATGGACTTTTGGCGTGAATTGTAAAAAGAGTTGTAAAAAATGGTCTGTAAAAGAAGTCTTAACATTATCCTAATAAATTATTTAAATTGTAAAAAATAGACTTATGGCGTGAATTTAAAAAATGATCTTTTGGCGAATTGTAAAAAAAGACTTTTGACATTATCCTAATAAATCATTTAAATTGTAAAAAATAGACTTTTGGCATGAATTGCAAAAAGATTTTTTGAATTGTAAAAAATGGTCTTTTGGCGAATTGTAAAAAAGATTTTTGAAGTGATCTTAACAGATCATTTAAATAAAAAAATAGACTTTTGGCGTGAATTGTAAAAAATGGTCTTTTGGAGAATTGTAAAAAAAAAAGACTTCCTAATAAATACTTTTGGCACAGATAGTTTTTTGGCAAATTGTAAAAAAAAACATATAAAAAGGGTAGCTATTCCGACTTTCTTTACTACAATTAAAGTAAAATCTTTAATATAATCAGTAAACTGACAACAAGTCTCATTGTGTTTTTTTTTCTCTTTAAAAATCCATTATTTTTAATTACCTACATATACAACATGATTGTTTTTCTTTAAAAATCAATTAATTTTTTAATTGCCTACATATACAACGTGATTGTTTTTCTCTTTAAAAATCAATTAATTTTTTTAATTACCTACATATACAACGTGATTGTTTTTCTCTTTAAAAATCAATTATTTTTTTTAATTATCTACATATACAACGTGATTGTTTTTCTCTTTAAAATCAATTATTTTTTAATTACCTACGTGATTACAAAAATCCATTATTTTTAATTACCTACATATACACGTGATTGTTTTTCTCTTTAAAAATCAATTATTTTTAATTACCTTCAATTTATTATATATACTTTTATAAAATGGATGGACAATTAGAAATCTTTATGGACCAAGATATGAATAACTCCTATTATGAAGATTTTGACAATATAAATCCTGATGAGTCTATTAGTCAAGTATTTGGTGATGAGCAATCAGAAACAGATGTTACCTCATCATCTGTATCAAGAACAAGTGCTGTATGGGAGTATTTTGATAGGAATCCATCTTATGCACTAGGATATAATGTTTGCAAGATGTGCTCACATAAGTATATGTTAACAACAGGTGTGTCTTCTCTTCGTAAACACCTCAGTTATTGCCACCAATTACAACTACCTTCTAGAAATCATAGAACCATGATTCGAATGGATCCTTTTGGTGAAAAAGAACAAAAAGAACATACCAAATACCTTCTTCAATGGTTAATTTGCGATCTACAACCTTTTACAGTTGTTGATAACCCCTATTTCAGAACATTTATCAACCATTTCTGTCCTCGTTATACTGTTCCTGAAAGGCATCAAGTAAAAGAATCTATAATTGATGCATTTAATTCTAAAAGAACAAAAATTATTAATGAACTTAGCCAAATTGAAGGAAGATGTTCATTGACGGCTGACATGTGGACTTCTATAAACCAGGAGGCCTTTTTAGGAATAACTATACATTATGTAGATTCAAATTGGCATCTCTGTAATTTTCTTCTTGACATTATTCCTTTTAGCATTAGACATACTGGAGTAAATATTGCACAAGAGATTAGGCGTGTCTTAGGTGAATTCAATATTTCTAACAAAATTATTGCATTAACCACAGACAATGAGTCTGCAATGCTGGTGTGTGGAAGAGAGCTTGCTGAATCCTTTGATGATCAATTTTCTTCAATGAATTTTGCACATTATCGTTGTGTAGCACATGTTTTGAACTTGGGTGTGAAGCAAGGATTAGAAATAGTTAGTGATTCAGTTAACAAAGTACATCAATTAATGACCAAAATTAAAAACTCAACTTTACTTTGTGATGAACTTCGTATCATGTGTGATGCAAAAAAAATAAAATATCTGAAACCAATTCTGGATGTAGATATCCGCTGGAATTCAACATATTATATGTTGAAACGTTTTGAACAACTTCAGCCAGCACTAATTTTGCTTGCTGCCACTAATAACACCATCAATGATATTCGCCCAAATGAAAATGATTTGGCAGTAATTAAGGTAAAATTGAATATTAAATAAATATTGGTGAATGATTCAACCTGATCACAAAGGCAAAATATTAATAATTAATTTCTGATATTCTTATCATACTTATAGGATGTTCTCTTACTTCTTGAGCCCTTAGAACAAGCCACAAAATATCTTTCATCATCATCCTATCCAACTTTGGGTGATGTTCGTTTTATTTTTCGTAGTGTCCAGACCCATTTAGAAAAATGTCTAGGAGAAGAAGACTTTAAACAACGTGAAGTAGCAGCCTCAATGTCCCAAAAACTTGGAGTGTATTGGAATATTATGGATCATTCTTCAATCACTTCATCAATTTTAGATCCTCGAGCCAAGCTCTCTGTTTTTTCAAATAACATAAAGCAAAGTGCTCGTGAGCACATTCAAACAATTTTTAATACATACCAACAAAACTCTTCCAATGAAACATCAACAAGAAGAACATCAACATCAAGAACATCATCCACTACAAGTGCTGCTCGTCAATATTTCATACAACTTCAACAAGGTACAACAATTCCACAAACATCTTCAGCATCTACTACATCGGAACTGGATCGTTATCTTTCATTGCAAATAGATGAAGATGCAGATCCTCTCTTGTGGTGGCAAGCACATGAAAAAGAGTACCCAATTGTAAGTAAAATGGCGCAGGATTATCTTACAATACAAGCAACCAGTGTTCCATCAGAACGTGCTTTCTCAGTTGCTGGAAATACAATCAGTAAGGTGCGAAATCGCTTATTGCCAGAAACTGCAAGAGCATGTTTGTGTATGAAGAGTTGGATAATCAATAAAGTAGGGGTTTAGAGTGTTAGAATAATATTCTCAAAATTATATTTCCTTATACTTACTTTATGTTTATTTTTATTTTTTTGTAATACATTGTAATTCTATGTTAATTACTAATAAAAAATCCTTTAATATTATTAATGTTTGTTTTATTTTATGCACTTTTTTGTATATTAATACATATTCATTCATTGTTTGTCCATTTATTCGTTATTTACATTATAATAATAATAATATTTAATTTATTTAATTTATTTGAATATTAATAAGTCACGTTATTTGTATTAATCTTTCCTTTTAAGGAAAGATTAACTCAGAATTTCCTCATATAGGTATAAATCACATGGGGAACGGTTAGAACTCAGTTCTGGAACCGGTTCGCGGTTCTGTGTTCGGTTCGGTTCAGAACTGCTCAGAACCGGTTCCCTAGTGGAACCGCCCCATCCCTAGTCAGCAATGTGGCCAACAAGAAAAAAGTCATAAAAATGATTCGGATTTTGGTATGTTATAAATTAATCATTCCCAAATTTTCTGCTTCTCTTTAATTTTTATTTGTCCACTGAATTGTTATTTAAATGGGGGTAGGGTTGTTGGTGAGCAGGCATGCCACTGGCAAGACTGCAATCCAAGATTCAAACTTTGAATCCAGGGAAAATCCAAAACAGCAACACTCCTACATTGGAGAATTTTTAATCAGTTGCAGACACCAAATTTATACTGAAGAAGTATAACACAAAGTAATCATCCACACAGGCACCAGCTATCAGCAATCAATGCCCATATGGTAAACAACCAAGCCTGGTCTGTGAGGAAGATGGGGAAAGTTTTGTCCAAAGCCTTCCAACTTGTTCAGGGAGCTTTCACCCATGGGGGAACTCCATGGTGCTGAATGGTGCTTAATTGTGTGGACCTGCATGTTTGTGATAGGAAATTTTAATTAAATCTGACACCTATGATTAACATCAGATTTATTATTCATGAGCAACCATAATTGATAATCAGGAAAAGTAATTTATTATTGTGAACCTCAGAGATCTGGGTAGACACGCATTATTAAGAGTTTCATTTCTGCATGGTCTTGGTATTATTTATTACCTGGGTGATGCAATTGTTTGTTATGTCAATGATGACATCAAATGTATTGAAATAATCAATAAACATTCATGTTCGAGGAAAGGATTAAATAACAACAAAAAAGTTAAGTCATGTTTTATTTTTTATTTATATAATTAATTATATTTGAAAAATAACTATTTTATTCCATTTTTGCAATGAACAGCAATAGCCTCAATAATTTTGTTTCTTTAGCATTAATGATTGAATCAATCACACAAGTGGTAGTCAATTTAAATGACATTCATTTTTTAAAATGAAATGATATTATTTTAAATGTATAAAATTTTTTTAAAAGATGTTTTATAATAATGATTTTTAATATTGTAAATCTTTTTTGATAATTGTAAATCTTTATTAATATTAATAAAAAAATCAGGAAATGTGAAATTTTTGCACATAATTATTTTTCATGGGGCCAATTGACCAAATTTTCCAATTTCCCTTCATAAATTATTGAACAACCATATTTTTAAAATCATTTACTTAAACTTATTCCACTGATTCATCTAAGATTAATTCCATTCATATACTTCAATTTTAAAACAATTATAAAAAACTTACAAAGTGAACATAAAATTATATATATAGGGATAAGTGTATATGAAAAATATTAACAAAGGTAACAAATGAAATGGTTCTAATGAATATCAAAAAGCAATTCATTTTTTAGAAAAAGGTTGTAATTGTGATTGTACTTCAAGAATTCCCAAGAACAATTTGCAGAATTAAGGGAATCCTTTCAAGCTCTTTCTAAACCAGAACAAGACATATTTTTAATGGCCCAACTTAAAGCAATGGATGGTGGATCAATAAGTGCTAGTAGATGCCTTAAAAAGAAAACCAGATCTAATAAAAGAACTTTCTATCATTGGGATCACAATACACTTCTTTGTCAAGAAACTTATCTCAATATGCTAGGAATTGTTTGTGTATGAAGAGTTGGATAATCAATAAAGTAGGGGTTTAGAGTGTTAGAATAATATTCTCAAAATTATATTTCCTTATACTTACTTTATGTTTATTTTTATTTTTTTGTAATACATTGTAATTCTATGTTAATTACTAATAAAAAATCCTTTAATATTATTAATGTTTGTTTTATTTTATGCACTTTTTTGTATATTAATACATATTCATTCATTGTTTGTCCATTTATTCGTTATTTACATTATAATAATAATAATATTTAATTTATTTAATTTATTTGAATATTAATAAGTCACGTTATTTGTATTAATCTTTCCTTTTAAGGAAAGATTAACTCAGAATTTCCTCATATAGGTATAAATCACATGGGGAACGGTTAGAACTCAGTTCTGGAACCGGTTCGCGGTTCTGTGTTCGGTTCGGTTCAGAACTGCTCAGAACCGGTTCCCTAGTGGAACCGCCCCATCCCTAACAGGCACTATCGAACATAAAGGCGGCAATGGTCGTCCATCCAAGGTTACACACACTTTTGCATGTTCTATTGGGCAAGTTATTCGCCACAATAGTGCTGTTTCAACACGACAACTTGCAATAAAACTTCAAGAAACGCAT